TTTTCTAACCAAGTCCTTTTAGGTCTATCTCTATCTTTCTTAACATAGGTTAAATCTAATACATCTACTCTCCTAACCGAGTCCTCGGAAAGCCGCCGTTTTATGTGACCAAACAAAATTGGGCAATAATATGCATGAAAATTCAAATCCATAGTTATATTTTAAATACCTTAATTGCCTAGAATATTGCCCGCTAATAGTTGTACTAGGGTCGCCAATTGTGAGCATAAGTATTCGGGAAAGGGAGTCTATGGCAACAACTGCCTAATGAAAAATTCAAATTATAACCTCTCTAGTTGTATAGCATACATTGCCTCATCGATTCATGCCATAATTATTTGATAAGTTTTAAGGTGGCTATCGACTACATAAAACAATGCTCCACTTTTCAAAGTTAGATAGGCTTTAAAAAAATGAGTGTGGAAAAGCCATTGGACCTGATGATATTCCAATAGAGGTGTGAAAATACAATTGACTTTAGTGACCTTAGCACCCTAAATGAAAATAGTGATTTTTATTTTTACCGACGTATTAGTAAAACCGAAGTTAGAGAGGCTTAAAGAAATGAAGAGTGGAAAAGCTGTTGGACCTTATGATATTCCAATAGAGGTGTGAAAATGCTTAAAAGATGAAGGAATTACTCGACTTACTAAACTTTTTAATATTTTTTTAAGACTCAAAAAAATTCAGATAAGTAGAGAATGAATGTGTTGATTCCTATTTTTAAGAATAAGGATGATGCATAAGATTGTGCAAATTATAGAGGAATTAAGTTAATGTGTCATGCTTTAAAACTATAATAGAGAGTTATGGAGCATAGGTTAAGATGTGATACTAATGTTTCTCAAAATAAATTTGGATTCATGTCGGGTAGATCTACTATAGAAGTTATATATTTATTGAGAGATTTAATCGAGAAGTATAGAGAAAATAAGGAGGATCTACATGTGATATTTATTGATTTAGAAAAAGCATATAATAAAGTTCCAAGAGAAGTGCTATGAAGAGTTCTAGAAGAGAAAAATGTTAATAATGTTTATATACAAGTCATTAAGGATATGTAGCATAAGTATTACTTGTGTTCAAAAGCAAGGTGGCTTTTGACCAATATTTTCTTTTTCATTTTGATTACATCAAGGATTAGAGTCTTAAACAGTTAAACCCATATCTTTTTGCTTTAGTAATGGATATTCTTACAAGACATTTACAAGAGGTTGTGCACTAATGTATACTTTTTGTTGATAATATCCTTCTTGTTGATAAAATATAAATAAAAATAAAAAATAAAAAATAAAAAAATCCTTCTTGTTGATAAGACTGGAGAGAAAGTTAAGGTAAACTTGAATTATGGAGGTCAACCTTAGAAATTAAAGGTTTTTGTTTGAGTAAATCTAAAATTGAATATATTGAGTGTAATTTTAGTAACAATAAATCTACTTAAAGGATTGTGACTTTGGGAAATCATGTCATTAATAAAGTATATGTTTTAGATATTTGGTTCTATTGTTCAAAGTAATGGTGAAATAGATGGAGATATTATTAGCGGAATTCAAGTTGGATGGTTGAAGTGGATGAATACATCGAGCTTGTTGTGAGATATAGAAAAGTCCCCCTCAAACTGAAGGGAAAATTCTATAAAATGGTGGTGGAACCTGTAATGCTTTATGGCTCAGAATGTTTGTCATTAAAAGAGAAGCATAATATTATGTTAAGTGTTGCAGAGATGAGGATGCTCAGGTGAATGAGTGGCATTACTCTTAGAGACAGGATACAAAACGAGCATAAATGTGAAAAAGTTGGAGTATCTCCAGTGGCAGATAAGATTAGATATAGTCACCTTAGATTGTTTGGCCACATTAAATGATGGCCTTCTGATGACCCAGTTAGGAGAGTAGATGTATCAGATTTGGCTTATGTTAAGAAAGGTAGAGGTACACCTAAAATGACTTGTTTAGAAAAAATATTAGAAATGACATTTTTATTAGATTTAAATGAAAATTTAACTATTAAAAGGCCGCAATGGAGAAAAATGATTCATCTAACCGACCACATATAGTGAGATAAATGCTTGATGTTGTTGTTGTTGTTGTTGTTGTTGTATGTTACCTCATTGACACTCTTAACCAAGACTATAAGGTGTACCACTCAAAGAAAGTCTTGCATTTATATAGTATATATAGTCTAGGTCTACCACTTGAGTAATTTTGGCATCACATCCTTTAAAGATACTGATAACTCTTTAAATTAAAATTTGTTTTCCAAAAATATAGTGAGGCAATTTAAACATTACAATATAACTGAAAATAAAATGTCTAAAGGCTATGTGGCCAGCCCAAATAGAAGCGATACATAGCTCAAGTTCAATTAATCTATCAGAATCTTGAGTCAAATTGAAATTTCCATCACAGGGTAACCAATCCAAAAAAACAAAGCAACTTGGTTCCGATTTTAAGAATGAATTTGGCACTATATGTTTCTGTAAGGAATTTGTATTGACTGGATGCATGATACTTGGATACTGGACAAGATTATCTCAAAATGGCCTACATTTATAAGCAATAAGGAGATTGACAATTATGGACTGAACTTCTTTATTTCGGATGGCAAATGGATCTTGGAACATCTACAAATGTTTTTTGATGAACAGCTGATTGAAATCATTTCAAAAATACCTATCTATTTGGATCAAGGGGCAGATAAAATTGAAATGATGTGGAAAGCTTCAGGACGTTCCATAGTAGCAATCTCGCAAGACTCAATTCATAAGGATGATGCTGATTGCAATTTCTGGAATGGTTGAAGAATGTTAAACTTAGGCCAAAGGTTGAGTTATTTTGGTGGAGACTACACAATGAGATAGTACCTAGCAACTCGTTCCTTTTTCATAGAAAATTACCTCTGTTTACAGGATGTCCGAGAGGTTGTGATAAAGAAGAAAATAATAAAAAGAAAATAATGATCATATTGCTGCAGTTTGTGGAAAATTAAAAAATGCAATATCATGACTTAATAGATGGGGATTTCAGGTTCCTCAATTCGAAAGCTTTGCTGAATGTTTAGAAGCATTGAAAGATATGTCAAACATAAATCCGGTCATTGTAAACATTTACTGCAATGTTGTTTTTTTGACATGGAAGAGCAGAAATTTATTAATTTATGAAAGAAGAGAAGATTCAGATATTCTCATTGCAGCTAACTCTATTTCTATGGCTGTTATATCTCCTTCAATCAACATCCATTCGGACAACTGGGATGTCAATCAGCGCAAGCTGTTTTCTTCTTGGCATCCTCCACCACCCGGACGGTTAAAGATCAATGTGGATGCATCCTTAAGCAGCAATTACATGGTTGGAACTGCTGGAGTTTGTAGAGATGATAAAGGTAGAATGTTACTTGCATTCGGTGCTCAACATTTGCATTGGGATATTGGCCAATTGGAACTACAAGCGGTATACATGTTAAAAGATTTCATACAAGATTGGATGGTGGAAGCTCAAGGAGACATTATTGAAGGAGATAACTTCAGCATCATCAAGAGTCTTCAACAAACTTTGAAAGTCCAAGAATAAAGATCTCTTTGAAGATGACTTAACAGAAATTCAGGCGACCATTTTTCATTTTCATTCAAAAGGTTTGTTGATTGGATAACATAATTGATGCCACACTTAAGTTTAATTAGCTTAGCAAATTAAGGCGTTCATGCACTAATTCTAATTCTCCACGTTTACACACCTGGAGATGTATGAACAAAAAATGTACAACTCTTAAAATGATACTGAAACCAAGTTATGAAAGACCCTAGAACTTTTGATTTTCTTGAAGGCAAGGAAGGCAAGGAAGTTGGATGTCTTCTTCATTCTACAATTTCAATAACTTTAGGAAACAATTTTGCAATCATGACTTTGCATACTATGTCCACAAGATATAATACAATGCTAGCCTCTATAATACAAGTATAAGGTTTCAAACATCAATCCCTCCCCAAACAATGTATTGATAGGAGATTCATGCATTAGATATGAATTTTTATATAATATAATATTATAGAACCCATGGAAAAATCATTGTAAATATAAAATACAACACCAATCACCAATTCAAGATCATGGATTTGATAGCACATTTTAATTGCACGCTGCTAAAAAAGCTCCACCAAAGCACTGCAAATCAAAACAATCTATAGTCCAAAGATCCCTGAGGTACCATTCCAGAAAGCAATATCAACTACAATGGCACTAGCTTAGTTCTAGATCTTTCACTGGCCCATCATTGAAAATGGCAGAAGGTTTATGATTTACCTCTCCCGTCTCTTTTTATGCCAATTCCCCAACAAACACAGCCTAAGCACTCGAAGGATTAAAGTAGTAGTAGTAACGAGACGTGCAACAAGCTGTTTGAAAATTCTTGAATTTGTTAAAATTGTACGTTTAACGTACTCTCCAATGTATGCTCTTATTCTATTGGGCAACTGCTAGGACAAAAGCCAAAATTATATTTATGTTTAACGGCTGAATCAAAGGAAAATATTTCTAAAGACAGCTTAAACAGCAAGATCAAAGTTAGAAACACTATCCATATGATTCACCTATATTAGATAGCAGAAAAATATTTCAGTTCAAAAAGAAGAATCTATCAGATATGGTTCAGCATAGCAAGACCAAACATTCACATGGGAATTTCTATGTAAAAAAAATGTATATATGCAGTTCGGAGACTTATGTGAGGAAGTCAACTAATGAATGAATTGCAAGCATGGAAGCTTGCACTTGTAGCATAATCCTTCGCAAAATTAAATAAATTTGCAGTATATTCATAGCTTAAGTAAATGACATGGGAATGCAGTGTTATATATTGCATTCAATCTACACAGTATAGCAAAGAGATTGAAAATAGCAACAGCAGAAAGAACCTACTTAAGGAAATCTGCTTCTATTAATATAATTCTAAAAAGATGACAAAAAAAAGATCAAGCAAGAAAAACTGTGTAACAATCATAGAAAGGTCAAAGAATTTGATAAAAAGCATATCTACAATAATTAATCATAATCTAGATGAAACACGTACTTCTTCCATTTCCTTTTTCTGCGAAGATTTGGGATCAGATCTCCATGCAATATACAGAAGACGCAGTCCAAAGAACAAATATAGTACTACATTAAAATGGATATAAGTATAAAAAACAGGTATAGTGAATAAAGCCATCAATAGCAACAATAAAGAAAAATCCCCATCGAATATTTCAATGTGATCATCAAATGAATGATGCAGGCTGAAAAAAGTTATGTGGATAACAGAATAAAACAAATGTTGAAGAAAATCAAACAAACTTATTAATCACTGGTTATAACAGCAGTATTCTAAAAAAACATTGTGGCAGAATGACTTGGAATCACACACGAAGAGATGATCAAGGAACCTCTTTAAAGTTAAAGTTTAAAAAAAACTGTATATAAAAATGAACAGAGATATCTTTTATCAAGTAATAACCACCACAATCCAGGTCTAATTTAGGTACTTCATAGTAAAGTATTATGAAGCTGAACCACTAGATAATTTAAAATATCATCAGGGTAAAATAAATCATTAATGTATCTTGATTTAAAGTGATTGGATTCATTTGAGAGCTGATTGGTTTATTGAAAAAGAACTGCAATATCATATACAGAGTGTAAAATTTTAGTTAATTCCTTTTTCACCCACTACTTCATTTTTATGTATTGTAAACTCGCCTAATTTTGGCCGAATTTCTTTTTAACCGACGACCACTGACTGCCATGTGCCACGAAGTGCCGCCGCCACCAACCATCACCGGCCTCCCATTGCGGCAGGCAACCAACATCATTTGATTTTATATTGAATTCATTTAAATTCAATCCAAACAAAATAATAATAATCTCCTACATTCCTTCTACACTCATCAAAACATTTCAAAAATATCAAATACACTTCATTCCTTTTACACTACATTCATTTTACTCTACATTATAATTAGCCCCTTATCTCAATATTTGTTACATAACAACTAAAAAATTCAAATCTCATGTCAAAGAAGAATGATGTTACCTAAAGCATGTATTATTAGAAATTCAGATGCCTCTCTCAACTTGATTGAAATGTAATTAGAATTTTATTTTCTAAAGTTATTTTTCAGAGATCTGATCCCTACCATCCATTTTGGAGGTCGTAGGAAATACTTCACTTAAGTCTTGGTATTACCTGTGTAATATGGTAGTTTAGAATCTACTACAAATAGAAATAATTGGACTCATTCAATCTATCAAAGCTAAATTATAATTCTTCTAGCTGCTTTAAATCAAGAATTAGCTTGTTTAATAAAGCAAAGAAATGCAATAAAAATCTGACATGGTATACCTACAGCAATGATCAGGGTGCCTCCATCATGACTTAGAAGTCATATGCCCAAATCATGAAAATAGCTTCTTTTTGTAATTCGAAGTTATGTTAGCATACATCAATTTCCAGACTTCGCATCAGCAAAAGCTTCATACATTGAATACACCCTCTATGCAGAAAAACTTGGGTTCATAAAAGAAAACTAACTTATCAAGCATAATTTTTGTTGATAAAACACGGATCAAAAAGTACCTTTAGAAAGCTAAATTTATGTGTAATTTGGCTTATTTGCATTATTCAATTCTCAATATGCTTAACTTGACTTGATTGATCCAACTAAAATTTCAAAGGGCCAAATGATGTTCAAGCACGAACCAATCAACCACCCTCAAATCCACTCACCTCAAAAGGTTAAAAAAAAAACTAGCAAAGTATTTCAGCAATCTTTTTAGATCCTACTCTTCATATCATTAGAATATCATTTCAAGACATGGAAGACTTTCTGATGGGGACATCAGAGCGTGGAAAGTCTATCAGAGACGTGGCCGTCGATCTACGGCTACGATTGAGTCGATGTATTTCTGAGTTGTATTATTTATTTTCTTAATTATTATGTCATGTTGTATTTGTTTTATTAGTGTTTCCATTTTTACCCCTTAAAGGAGGCCGTTTGTAAGCCCAGTGGGCATTGTCGACTTTTTAATTTCTTGAGTCTTTGTACGAGGCTATATATAGCCCTATTGTTCTCTTTTTGATGCGGACATCCAATCATGAAGATTTTCAAAGGAGGAGACGACGATCAACGGCCGAGATCATTCCACCTTATCTTAATTTGTTCTAGTAATTTTTATTTTTATTACGAATTTTTCCTTTTTACCTTTACTTAAGAGGGTCATCCTATGTAAGCCCTAGGGGCATATGTGTCTTGTTTTAGTTTCTTAGGCCTATATATAGAGGCCCTTCCTTGTGTAATGGAATGATGGATTATTAATAAAAAAAGAATTGGAGCCTTTGTCTAGATCTCTGTGTGAGTTTTGGAGAGAAAAAGTCCTATGGGAGGACAACCTTGTTTCCACCAGCCGCAGGATGAATCCGAGCTCATGAATTGAAGTTCCTCGGGGAGGAAAACATAGTACCCACCAGCCACAGGAAGAGTCCGGGCTCGTGGTTTGTATCATTTTTATTTTATTTTTTCTTTGTTCTCTGTCCTCTCATCTCTAGTCTCCATCATCCACCATCTGTTTTTGTTTTATTTCGTTTGATTTTGGTTAACTTTTCTTTGGATCAAATATCAACCCCTCAACCTCCATAGTCGGCCGACCACCTCACCCTTAGCCTCTTCCCTCCTCCACAAATTTTGAATTTTAAATTCAAAATAGCCTCTTTATTACCTTCCTAAATTATCTATTGTTAACTTGGAAAGTTCCTAATTTGAATTCAAAGATATTTGAATTTCAAATCCTTTCCGAATTAACAAATCTATTTTAGAATCCTTCCCCTAATTCCTCTAAATCTAAAATCAATTTCAGATTTAATATCAAATCTCATTTAATGCCTTGGGCCACATACATCGTATGTGGACATCTCTCCCCCTCCTTTGGCCGCCCCCCTTTTCCCTCACATATTAATTAATTTCCCTTAATTAATGCTCTCAATCAAATCTCTTTCCCTCTAAATTTTATTTTTTCCTAAATTAAGTTGTTCTAATTTTGGTAACTTTTCGAATTCAAATTCAACCGAATCAAATTTTTTCCTAAATCATTTAGCTTAATTTTGAAAAGCCTTTCTTCAATCAAGGATTAGGTAAATCATCAATTAATTGGGAATCAATTCAAATTCCACATTCATTAAACCTGGACATCCTATCCCCTTCTCTCTTTGGCTGACCACTTCCCTCCCTTTTCCAATTAATTTGAAAATTCCAAATTCACATGACCCCCCCTCCCTCCCTTTATTCTACATCAATTTGGTATCAGAGCATGGATATCAGTGGTGCAGACTCGACGGAGTCAAGCTCTTTTCCATCCCGGGAGAATAATGCGGACATCCAATCATGAAGATTTTCAAAGGAAGAGATGATGATCAACGGCCGAGATCATTCCACCTTATCTTAATTTATTATTTTTAATTTTTTTTTATTATGAATTTTCCCTTTTTACCCTTACTTAAGAGGGTCGTCCTATGTAATCCCTAGTGGCATATGTGTCTTGTTTTAGTTTCTTAGGCCTATATATAAAGGCCCTTGCTTGTGTAATCGAATGATGAATTATTAAGAAAAGAAATTTCATTTGCACTTGTGCTCTTTGGAGAGAACCTGGGTGAGACTCCTATGGGAGGGAATCGGAGTTTCCACCAGCCGCAGGATGGGTCCGGGCTTGTGGCTTGAAGTCCCTTGGAGAAGGGCAACATATTACCCATCAGTTGCAGGATGTGTCTGGGCTCACGATTGTATCTTTTTCCCTAAATCCTTTTCTCCTCCTACTTTGACCGCCGGCCAAAATCCCCCACTTGTCACTGGCCGGTTCTCCCACAAACCCTTCCAAAGCCACAAGCCTCCTCCAATTTATCCATATCAACCGCCGGCCATAAACCACTCCACCACCACCTCCTAGTCGGCCACCCCATCTCCTCTCATCCTCCTAGCCGCCGGCCACCCCATCCATTTTTTCCTCTTAATGATGATTTCAATCATCATTAATACCTACTAAAATTAGCCTATCTAATTTGGGGTAAGAATTAAATATATTTGAAATTCAAATTTGAATTTCAAATACTTTCCTAAAAATAACTAAGCTAAATTAGAAAAGTTCCTAAATTTAAGACTAATTTCATTTTAAATTAGATTTGATTTAATTACCCTTTTCCTAATTTAGAATCATGATTTAGGAAGTTTTAAATTCCCTCCCAATTCCCCTCTCCCCATTAATTACACCTATTATATCCTTCCTTAACTGCCGACCTCCCTCTCACATCTCATTAGATCCCAAATTAAATCCCCATTAGTTATTTCCTTATTTAGTATCTTGTTATTTGGAAAGAATTTGTATTCAAATTCAAAATAATTTGAATTCCAAAAGCTTTCTAATTAAACCAACTCTCATTTAGGAAACCCCTCAAATCTCTTAAATCTAAAATTAATTTCAGATTTAATTATCGCATCACATTTAATGCTATGGTCCACATACATTGTATGTGGACATTTCTCCTCCCTCCCCATATGGTCGACCCCATCTCTCTTATTTTAATTATTTCCTTTCTTATCAAGGAATCCAATTAGGGGAATAATTAATCACCTATTTATCCTTCCCTCCATCTTATTTGAATTTCAAATTCAATTCCCTTAATTAAGGGAAATCTGAAATTGAATTTCAGATATTTAATTTTTTATTACCCCCCCACCTCGTTCTACATCACTTTTCATGTTAATGATTGAATGATAAAAAATTTCCACATGTTTTGAGTTCTTATGAGAACTTGAGAGAGATCAGAGTGAGATCCCTAGGAGAGGGAGAATTGTGCATCACCGATCAACCGAGAAGAGTCGGGTTCGTGGTTTTAATTTCTATCTGATTCCCTTCCTCCTCCCACCACCACCGCCGGCCCAATTTCCCCTTTCCCCACCCCACGGTCCAAGATCCACCCGAGATCTAGAACCGCCGGCCCATCCCTCACCGCCCTCTTCCTCTTATACGTTAACACCACACCACCATCACAACCACCGACCCACCCCTCCACACCAAAGCCGCCGGCCCCCTTTGGGTTTCCCCCCTCTTCTCCTTATTTCCTAATATATATT